AATTAATGCTACTCTTGTTATTATTATCTTAATTATTACGTTATATAATAAATATATACGGGAGCCGTTAAAACCCGACGTGTAAAAATCAGCGTTCTCTTGTTTCAGGCGCAGCTGGCGCGGCGTCTCGGCTACGCACCGGGAGAGGCGTGGCACCTGCTGCGCGCGGAACGCTGGAACGACAGCCACGTCGTCGTCATGCGCCACCTGGCGAGCAAAGCCATCGTCAACGGTAGGGGGCGCTGCCATCGCTGTCCGTGTCGGCGGGCGGGGGGGGGGCGTTTATGATTCTTTCCCGGATATCGGTCTCATTTCCACGGGGTCGGGGAGGGGGGTTCTGTCATGGGGGTTGGGAGGGGGGTTCTGTCCTTAGTAACATCATGTTAGTGAGTCGAAAATGTCATGATTCTTGCACTTCTTGCGCATAATTATAACATAATACTCATAGTTATACATATACATTATTTATTTATTTATTTATTCATAATAATATATATATTTTTTTATATTATAATTTGCCACGTGCGTGCCGCTGACAGTAGCGTAACGTACGCACCCGCCCCCCTGCGGTCACGTTCGCAGTTTTAGCGACGTTCGGATGTTTTTTCCTCGGGCGGCGCCGTAACGTTTCGTCTGCGTCTCAGAAAACTACGAGTACTTGCGGAGGTTCCTGTCGGAGCTAGCCCGCCCGGAGAGGAGCGTGCTCATCCAGGACTGGAACACTAGCGGTGGCGTCTTCCTGGACTACATCCTGCTCAGGAGGTAGGGTGCTGCTCTGGCTGCCTCCCTCTCTTCCCTTCCCCCTCTCCTTCCCTCCCTCTCTCGCTACAGAGACTGGAGGAGGTAGGTGTGCTGCTCTGTCTCCTTCCCTCCCTCCTTCCCTCCCTCCTTCCCTCTCTCGCTACAGAGACCTGGGTGGAGGTAGGTGTGATGCTCTGCTTGCCTCCCTCTCTTCCCTTCACCTCGTCGTCCTTCCTCTCGCTCCTGTCGCCTCTTCGGCTGCAGAGACTTGGAGGAGGTAGGTGTGCTGCTCTGGCTGCCTCCCTCTCTTCCCTTCCCCCTCTCCTTCCCTCCCTCCTTCCCTCTCTCGCTGCAGAGACTGGAGGAGGTAGGTGTGCTGCTCTGTCTCCTTCTCTCTTCCACTCGCCGCCTTGCGTCCCGCTCTCCTCCCCTCCTGCTCTCGCTGCAGAGACTGGAGGAGGTTAGGTGTGTGCTCTGGCTGGCCTCCTCCCTATTCCCTTCCCCTCTCCTTTCCCTCTCTCCTTCCCTCTCTCGCTGGGCAGAGATTTCTGGAGGAGGTAGGTTGCTGCTCTGCTTCTCGTTCCCCTTCCTCCTCCTTCCCTCTTCGTACAGAGAACTGGAGGAGGTAGGTGTGCTGTCTCATGGCTTGCCTCCTCTCTCTCCCTTCGCCCCTCTCCTTCCCTCCCTCCTTCCCTCTTTCGCTACAGAGACTGGAGGAGGTAGGTGTGCTGCTCTGGCTGCTCCTTCTCTTCTCTTCCCGTTTCCCTGGCCGCTTCGCCTCCCTCCTTCCCTCTCTCGCTGGCAGAGACTGGAGGAGTAGGTGTGCTGGGCTCTGTTCTCCTCGCGCTCTCTCCTTCCTCCCTCCTGTACCTCCCTCGCTTGCCAACGAGCTGGGGATGTGTAGTGTGGCTGCTGCTGGCTGGCGTCCCTCTCTTCCTTCCCCCTCTCCTTATCCACCTCCTTCCCTCTCTCGCTTACAGAGACTCGGAGTGGAGGTGCGTCGCTGCCTCCTCTCTTCCTTCCCCCTCTCCTTCCCTCCCTCCTTCCCTCTCTCGCTACAGAGACTCGCGAGGAGGTAGGTGTGCTGCTCCTGGCTGACCTCCTCTCCTTCGCCGCTCTGCCCTCCTCTCCTCTTCTCCCCTCTCGCTACAGAGACTGGAGAGGTAGGTATGCTGCTTGGCTGCCTGCCTCTCTTCTCCCTCTCCTCCCTCCCTCCTTCCCATCTCATCGCTACAGAGAGACTGGAGGAGTAGTGTGCTGCTCTGGCTGCGCCTCCGCTCGTCTCCCTTCCCCTCGTCTTCCTCCCTCGCTACAGAGACTGGGAGGAGGTTAGGTGTGCTGCTCGGCTGCCTCCCTCTCTTACCCTTCCCCTTCCCTTTCCTCGCTACAGAGACTGGAGGAGTAGGATGTGCTGCTCTGGCTGCCTGCTTCTCTTCTTCCCTTCCCCCTCTCCTTCCCTCCCTCCTTCCCTCTCTCGCTGCAGAGACTGGAGGAGGTAGGTGTGCTGCTCTGGCTGCCTCCCTCTCTTCCCTTCCCCCTCTCCTTCCCTCCCTCGCTACAGAGACTGGAGGAGGTAGGTGTGCTGCTCTGGCTGCCTCCTTCTCTTCTCTTCCCTTTCCCCTCCCCTTCCCTCCCTCCTTCTCTCTCTCGCTGCAGAGACTGGAGGAGGTAGGTGTGCTGCTCTGGCTGCCTCCCTCTCTTCCCTTTCCCCTCCCCTTCCCTCCCTCCTTCTCTCTCTCGCTACAGAGACTCGAGGAGTAGTGTGCTGCTCTGTCTCCTTCCTCCTTCCCTCTTTCGCTACATAAAGCTGCGAGGATGGAGGTGTCTGGCTCTGGTTGCCCCGTCCTCTTCCCTTCCCCCTCTCGTTCCTCCCTTTCTCTCTCTTCGCTAAAAACGAGGACTGGAGGAGGTAGGTGTCCCCTGCTTCTGGCTGCCTCCGCTCTCTTCCCTTCCCCCTCTCCTTCCCTCCCTTCTTCCCTTACTCGCTATAGAGGCTTGATGAGGTACGTGTGCATTCCTCCCTCCATCACTCTTGCCATCCTCTCTTTCGTTCTCCTCCCTCCTATCCTCACTACATGCTGAGGAGGTACGTGTGCATTCCTCCCTCCGTCTCTTGCCCTCCCTCTCTTTCGTTCTCCTCCCTCCTATCCTCACTACATGCTTGAGGTCGGTGAGTGTCATTCTCCCTACCGTCACTCTTGCCATCCCTCTCCTTTCGTTCTCGCCTCCCTCCTATCAACCCTCACTACATGCTTGAGGTGGTGTACGTGGCGCCAGCGGGAGGCCGCCTGCCGTTTCGGCTTCGCGACGTGCGGACGAATATTTAGGGCGCATATTCGGCCCTTCTTCGTTCTGGTCTACACTACACCTCGACCTAGCCACTGCAGGACACATGGGACCTCCGTGCACGGCGGCAGGGTTGTGAAACCTCAAGCGCTCCGGTTGCTACACCTATCAGGGCTACAAGTCTAAGGCAGGCTACAGCCTACAGGGCTACAGGGCTCTGGTAAAATAGGGGCAGTTCCAGGAGATGTCCCATAGTCTGGTCCTGCCCACAGTCGGCATTCGATTCGCGCCAATATTCGCTGACTTTCTCGTTGCGTTCCCGTATTTACGCTGGCGTTTCCGTGTCCGCAGCAGGAGATCGGCGCGTACGACCTTGAACGTCTGCACACGGAGGTCGCGTCGCTGTGCACGCGTCTGCTACGACTCCCCTGCATCACCACCGTCGACCGGTAAGTCCTGACCTGCAAGGGGGTTGCCACCCACGACACCCGGGGGCGCTGACACGGCTCGGGGGGGGGGGACCATTGTGAATTCTAGCAGGGCTGGAGCCTAACTCGTCGCTCTGCCTTGGGGATCTGGATGCGCAGTTTGCGTTTCGGGCAGTAGATTTTAGATTCGCGATCGGCCACGTATCTATCTTGGGAAAGGGGGGACTGCACTTGTTGCTTCCTGCTTGCCACGGCCCTGTAGAGAAGGACTAGAAGGGCCCTAGCAGACCAGTATTTCTGTAGAAGAGTGTAGCACGAGAAGTTAATGTGTAGAGTTAATATATATAATTATATAAATATATAGTGTTTTCTGCTAACCTTTCGCTGATCAACTTCGCTCGTAAATTTCACGAAAATTTCTCCTCGGGTTGATCGCAGCCGCGGCGTCGGCGCGCGTACGCCGGCGCGCGTACGCCGGCGCCCCCTATTGACGACCGTTTCTCTCTTACAGGCTGTGTCAGTCGGAGATGGCGAAGCGTACGGCCGAGCTGCTGCGCTGCATTCTCTCCCTGGAGCGAGGGGGCGCCGGCGGAGCGGCGGCGGCCGTGCCCGCGCGACTGGTGGCGCCCCACCTCAACGCACTGCCGATGCCGGAGGACTATGCTCTGCAGGAGCTGAGGGCTCTGACGAGCTGCAACCTCATGGAGATGGTGGGGTGGTGGGGGAGCACCTTCTTCCCGGCGGCACCCACGGAGATGGACGGCGGGGGATTGTTGTGCGCATCCTAGCACGTTGGTCTGCCCCGGTGCCGACCCGCGGAGGAGGACGGGGTTGTGGCTGTTGCGCATCCTTAGCCCTCCCGCGCATCCCACGAGCGGGATGGTGCGGGGGCGTGTGTGTGGCGATCCTAGCACTTCCGCGCGGGCACCCTGCGGAGATGGACGGGGCCGGTGTGTTTGCGCATCCTGGGTTAGACCTCTCCGCCGCCACCCCGCGGATGGTACGGGGTGTGTGTGCGATCTAGCAACCGCTCCCCGCGCCACCACGGCAGATGGACGGGGGGTGTGTGTGCAGATCCTATCACCTCTCCCGGCACACCCACGAGAGATGGACGGGGGCCGGTTGTGTGTGCGCATCCTTAGCACCTCCCGGCGCCACCCACGGAGATGGACGGGGGGTGTGTGTGCGATCCTAGCACCTCTCCCGGCGCCACCCACGGAGATGGGACGGGGGGGTGTGTGCGATCCTAAGCAGCCTCTCCGGCCGCCACCCGCGAGCAATGGACGGGGTGGTGTGTGTGGCGATCCTAGCAGCTCTCCCGGGCGCCACCGCGAGTGATGGACGCGGGGGGTGTGTGTGTCGATCCTGAGCACCTCTCCCGGCGGCCACCGCGGAGAAATGGGGGGGGTGCTGTGTGCAGATCTAGCACCTCTCTTCGGCGCCACCCACGAGTCATGGACGGCGGCTGTGTGTGCCCGTCCTAGCACCTCTTCCCGGCGCCACCCCGGAGTGGACGATGGGTTTGTGTCGTGCGATCTACGCAGTCTCCCCGGCCGCACCCACGGAGATGCGACGGGGGGTGTCTGGTGCGATCCTAGCACCTCTCCCGGACGCAAACCCCGGAGCATGGACGGGGGTGTGTGTGGATCTAGCAGCTCTCCCGGCGCACCCACGGGAAGCATGGACGCGCGGGCTGTGTGTGCGATCCTAGCAACCTCTCCCGCGCGCACCCGCGGAGAATGGACGGGGGTCGTGTGGTGCCGATCGCAGCACCTTCCGGCAGCCACACCCGGGAGAGGGACGGCGGGGTCTGTGTGTCCGATCCTAGCACTCTGCCGGCCGCACCACGCGAGATGGCACGGCGGGTGTGTGTGCCGGATCCTTAGCACCTCTCTCGGCCGCCACACGGCAGATGGACTCTATCAATCAATAATTTCTTTCTTTTTTTGCCTTTTTTCTTTTTTCTCTTGCGACGTAGCGGCGGTGGGTGTGCGATCCTAAGCACCTTCCCGGCCGCCACGCACGGCAGTATGGACGGGGTCGTGTGTGTGCCGATCCTAGCCACCTTCTCCCCGGCGCGCCACCCACGAGATGGACCGGCGGGGTAGTAGTGCGATCCTAGCGCTCTCTCGGCCGCACCACGAGACATGTACGGTGGGCGGTGTGTGGCGTTGATTGGGATGTCAAGTGACTTTTGACCGCGGCTGCGACTGATGTACCGGTCGAAGACTAAGACCGACGCAGAGAGAGACCTGGCATGGTATTGATCGATGTCCAGTCGGTGACGTGAGACGAGAGAAGCCGGACATACTGCACCGATGTCCAGTCGCGTGAGTGATACTAAGTTCATCAGTGACTGAGACAGGGGGGAGCTTGATTTATTGACCGATGGTCCAAGTCAGGCAGCCGACATTGTGCCCTTGGACATGTATGACGTCGACTCGCTCGAAGCGACATGAGCCGCGCACGCGATGGACCGCTGCGAGATTGCGAGAGGGGAGGAAAAGGAAGCTGTTTACTGAATGCCGGCTATACCGGTCTCTCTCGTCTTCTCTTATCTGCCGCTGTGCTCGCTGCTGCGTTGCCTGCTGCTTGCGTGCCTGCTGCTCGGTGGTGTGGGTGTGGAGTGCTGCTGCTCCTTACTACTGCCCTGCTGCTATGGTGTCGGCTGGTGGTGCTTGGTCGAGTGTGGTGGTGGCATCAGACGCAAAAACAACACACAAATGATGGTGTGGTAGTGGGAACAAGACGCTGGTGGTCGAGTGGTGGTTGGTTGGTTGGTTCGTGCCCTACTTACTAACTAACTACTACTGCTGCTTGTGGTGGCTGGATGCTCCATCGCAACTTACTACTTACTACTACTACTAGCTGGGTGAGTCATTTATATTTATAGCCCTTTTTTTNGGTGCGGTGACTCGTTGAAGGAAGGCTGGCACGCTAGCCGAAACCTTCAATCCGGTACCGTCACGTCGTCGGTGTCCGTGACCTTGCCGTGACCTTGCACACGTGCAGGATGAGGTTCGCGAGAGGGCTGCGCCGGTCAGTGAGGCACTGTGCTATACGCTCTGTACGCTAGTAATAAGAGATACTGCAGAATACACTGCTGCGTCAAGCGATTGCACGAATAGATGACGCGGCCTGTGTTACAGATTACACAGCAGTGTGTTAAGCGGCAGCGCAAAAATAGAGGCGCTGTCTGACTTCTAGACGTCTGTCTCACAGAATATAGAGACGCATTGAGC